TTAGTACCCTCGCACGGCGCTTCGCGCCGCCGGCTCGGGGATAATGTTTTGTCAGTAAGGCGAGGGTTTCTGCATGCATGTATTTTCTAGTCTATTGTTAACAATACCAACTTGTCGTTGTCGTACCACTGTTTGAATTCTACCTTTACTGGATAACTTCCCCTTCCCTCCACGATTTAAGCGATACGGTTTAAAAATGTTCAATGCTTTAAGTGATTCGTAGACTGGTGCAGACACCTTCGGGCGATAAGATGGTCTCAAACGTCGTAGAAATGTTCCTGTATATCGAAGCATCACACCGGCCATATTGTAAATATTACTTGAAGACAAGTACAACTTCCACGGACACAAATCGTTATATAGCGTTTTTATCCCGTTTTAAAATTGGCAGGAGCTAACTTAGAATCTAAGGAATAAACAATGATACCAATGTAGGAAACAACCGATCCAAAATATGAAATAAATTGAGAAAAATTTACGACACACTAAACACACGTGCAGCTTCAGAGAGCGCTTATAATTAGTTCGATACTCTATACCATGGGTCTGCTTACAAGTGCATTTTTGCTGCGATTTCTTGTGCGATTTTCCTCTAATGCATGTGAACGAGTAAATGTATTATGAATGTTCAGATGAGGGTACACATTACTACACATACGCAAAGCATTCGTAAGTCATTTACTCCTTTTACAACCATCAGAAGAAGATCAAGGGCCGTTGAGGCCAACTCAGGGATATGATCAAATGAAAGTAGAGAAAGAATTAGAGCAGTTTGCAGTTGTTTTTGCAAACCGAGCACTGTGCTAATTTTGCTATTTCACCCATTTGTCGTGCTTCGTTTGCCAAATCAAAAGAACGAACGCGTGCTCCAGCTCGATTTCCGGTTCTGAAAGGTCCGATTCAGATCAGTGGGTCCGACTCGCAGGCAAACAGTGCGCTCAAAGCAGGCTGGTCATTTCCCATTGTCGAACTGTCCCACATTCGCCCCACACTCAAGTGAGCACAATGACTCTGCGAAGCAACATCTGTGAGTCAAAACTCGCACTAGAAACCACAGCAAAAATTGCAAGTATATAAACGGGCCTATTGACTGATTAAAGATGGTTCTTAAGTAAAGATATACTGGCCAGTTTACATTATATCCCAGACTTTAGTTGATACTAACTATTCATGAGACAATTACCTTGACGACAATGTTTGCCCAAACCCTAAAAATTGAACTTCATCATCTGATTCTAAGAGCGACGGTGTTCCGATAGAAGATTCTACCATGTTTAAAGTATATTTATCGCATACAAGACTGCTGGATTGTATGATATTTCCAGATGACGGATCAGTTAAAATAAAGTGTGCGGGGTCTGTACACAGTGAGCCTGCCCAATCATAAACAGCATGCATCTTGGTGTTATGAGGAAATCGCCTTGAAAGAAGTCCTAATGACGGATGTCTAATCTTCACAGCAACAAAGTTAGTACAAGGTTCTGGCACCAGTCTTGCTTTATGTGCATCTTGAAGTTGCTCACTCTTGCTTTACGTGCATCTTGAAGTTGCTCTTTAAGCTCTTTATCACGTATTTCACAATGTTCATTATCAGTGGTTTTTTTTTATCCATTTCCAGTGACATCTGATATTCTTCATCTTGTTTCTCCTTTAAAGTCTTTCGATCTTCTGATGATCCAATTAATGAAAACGTTTGTGGGCTTTGTTGCTGTGCTGTATCCTCCTTAAATAACAATAACAACATTTTATTTGTGCCTTCACAGAAGTTATAGCAGTCCAGCTGTTGCATGTTCATATAAAATACATCAAGAAATATGACAAGGGCTGATTTATTGGAGACTGTACTTGTGAAAGTAGAAAAAATACACATGAATATCAATTCCCTAGTAATCAGAATGATTTTATAGTTCCCCAAAAGTAATTCAAAATACATGTACATGATCAATATCAAACGCTTCACTGGGTTCACGAAAAACTCCACATGTATTTTTTTGGCTACCAGTTAGTATAATGATGCATTACATAATTAGATATGAACCGGAGTCTCAGACTCTTCCCTCGTCCCTCAAATTCGCTCCCAAAATGATGTTGTGCAATGATGCATGGGAATGCTCTAACCAAAACAATGAGAACATACTTTCTTTGCAAAAGAATGAGTTTTTCAAGCAACATAATTCACTAACCTGAAGCTGAGACATGCTGTCAAATGGTCCATCCTGCATTTCACCGTCACTATCCAGATCTATAGATAGTTTTTTCGTTCTCAGGTATACTCGAACTGTTTTAATCTTATGAGCTTCCATATAATTGGAGATGTTGAATGACATAATGCGATCCCCAATGCGTATACCCTCATTAATTTTTTCATCTTTAAAATTTGATAAGTCCATAGACATTTCATCTGATGCTCCAAATATTGATTGCTCATGTGGATAGAACAGGTCCTTGCATATTTTTATCAGTTCAGTTCTAGTGGTGTTTACTGGAACCTGAACTGTTCGACTGCCTCCCCTTTTGCTAAGGGGACAAGCACGTAGGCATTGTCTTCATCTCGGAAATGTTTCCATCCAAGAATAACTTTTTTGGTTTTAATTTTGTTCATCTGTTTGTCTTGTTGGAGCGAAACCTCGCGGTTGGTTGGTTTGTTTCGTGATGTTTTTGTCGATTTTTTCCTAGACAAAAATGCATCAAGTACAACCCTTCTCTTTTTGTTAGACTCCTCATTTGATGTTATATTGCCACTGCAGTTAATATCCAAACTTTTGCAGTAAGCAACAAGGTTTAATCTGTCTCCAGCTTTTGTGAGTCCAAGTTCTTCCAGGACTTTATCTGATGCATTTGCAATTGCACTAATATCTAAATAAAAAGTGTGATTAAATTGATGCTTAATAAATCAATATAAAGTGGTTCTTTGTTCACGTTCCACCCACACAAACAATGAGCAAATAATCAATCAACACCATTCCGAAATATGATTTTGGCTGACAGCTGAATTGTGATTGTCTGAAATTATTACTAGTTGATTATTTAATTATGTATCAATGCATCTTTAATTGCCAAAATAATGACTAAATTAATTTTTACAAGAAAGATTCCAGTAGATAGTCCCGCAAAATTTGTGTTTAACCTTCCCATTGTGCATCTAGTGTTTGTGGAGGAAGCAAACGTATAGCATTGTATATATATATATGTAATATCAAACTTGACACTTATACTAATATACTAAACTTGGACATGAATTATTTAATTAAGTTCATTGAAAACTAACCCTTGAGTGTCCTTGCCTAATTTTAAAATTATTCTATAATGGGAATTGTCTATTAGTGTGCATTCTCTTTTGCCGAAGGTCGAACGCAATAATATAAATGAATAACTATAAATATTTTGCCAAATATTCCATGCGATTTTTCATTCATACTAATTATTATTCTTATTATTCTTCTTCTTCTTCTTCTTATTATTTAATATTACTTGAAAACGGCCACCCTTCAGATCTATTAATTAATAACATCATAGTAGCCCAAGCACACTGTGCGATTTAAATTTAAATGCTTGGCATACTTAATTACTCCCTGTGGTATCGATTTCAAAATAATAATGTTAACGATTGGCTTATAAGTATTCTGAATTTTTACACTAAAATGTATCACTAATCAATACTTATCGTTGATGGAAATATACTTAGGTACATAGCGTACATCAGCAAAAATAAATAGTTTATACCTTTAGTAGAAGCACTTGAAATCCAGCTTTAAAATCAACTGACATTCCTGGATTTCAAGTGCTTCTACTAAAGGTATAAACTACTTATTTGTGCTGATGCATGCTATGTACCTATAAAGTATATTTCCTTTAACGATAAGTATTGATTAGTGATACATTTTAGATGTATTGATTAGTGATACATATTATTTTGAAATTGATACCGCAGGGGGTAATTAAGTATGCCAAGCATTTAAATCGCACAGTGTGTTTGGGCTACCTATGATAACATCTGATTTCCAAGGGGAATATATAAATAAAGAACTAACCTAACTCAATACAGGAGCATAGAGCTTAATTTTCCTACTTACAAACGAATGACTTGATTAGTACTATTTACTGTTCACACATGCACGTTTTGTCCAATCATAATCAGCTCGAGAGAATTGTTTTACAGTTACAGTGTAATATAAGTAACCAGTGTATTACTGAGATTTGCAATTTAATACATATAACTATATTAAGATAAATGTCCATTTTAATAAAGTTTCTTAATAAAGTTTCCATTGTTAGTATTAGTTATTATGTTTATATTTTATATTTATTTACATTGAACGAAACCTAATTAGTTGCTGGGGCACCTGTGCCAGCAACTATAGGTTTCAGGTGAAATTGGTCTCCTTCTCCTTAGCCCGCGTGCAGGCCCAAGGGAACTGATAGTGGGGCTGCAAGCAAGGCCCGGTATTTTGTACTTTCCGCGTTCGCCCACGAACGCGGTATTCTGATTGGCTGTTTGCTGTTGGATTCTATAATTAGGTCAGTGATTCATCACAAAGGTTCTCGATAAGCTCTCGAAAATTGATAACTTTTTTCGATTATAAATGGAACAAGAACAGACTGTTTATCGTTTACTTGAAGGAAGAGATGTTTTTGCCGTTAAGCCAATGGGGATTGCTTGTCGTGAGGTGTTGGAATAGCAACATTACGATTGGGGTAAACTATAGTAACCTTTACTTGAGTTTCATTAATTTCAAACAGACTTGATACGTTATATATGTTCCTCAAGAAAATTATCTTTTGGTTGATGTTGAGATGCAGTTGCATGTAAGCCTATTCGAAACACTTTGCGATTTACAAGGCTTCGCTGAGACTCCTGAGAGACGGTATTAAATTGCCGTTTGAAACGAAACGATCTGGACTCTGAACGCTCTCTTCTTTCGTAGAGTTCTTTACCAAATGAAATAACTGAAATAAATTTCGTACTTTCCGCCGCCAACAAGAATTGCATACACGATCTGATAAGTGAGACAATTTATTTATAACAATGGCGACAGCGAAGCACACAGTCATATAAAATGCTAATGTGCTCGCACGACTTCCCTCACGATTTGGAGTTTGAGCCTGGTTTTCTGTTGAAATTCGTCCTAATTTGCTTGTTCCGATTTTAGTTGAAAATGAGCACTTGCAAATTTGGCAATTACTGACTGCGTTGCTTGCTTTTTTGGAGTTTAAACGCAGCCATTTACACATTGTTTATGTTCTCAATAAGCAGAGAAAACCCCGCAACATTTTAATGCGAGTTTGTTTGTTAATATTTGGGTGCTGCCATTGGTTCTTTTTTGACAATTGACGCGCGAATGGGGCGTGTTATGAAAAGGGGCGTTTTACAAAATACCGGGCCTTGCTTGCAGGCCCACTATCAGTTTCCTTGGGCCTGCACGCGGGCTACCTTCTCCTTCTCCATGGATAGTCGCAAAATGGAAATTCCCACTGATCCATATATGAAGCACTACGTGCATACATTTTCGCTATTTTAATGGTCTTAAAGTCTTTGTGAGTGTGTAAAGTGAACGTCAAATTGTTCTTCCAATCACGCTTTTTCTTCTGGGGGCGTTTTGAAAGAAATCCATAAAATAATATACAGAATTATATCGACGTTTCACTGTCGAGGAGTGGAGTGGTTTCCGAGCTGGATTCTTATTCAATGTGTTATTTGTTCGTCGAACTATAATAGTTCTGAACGTTATTTTTGTTTTGTGAAGTTTTATATCTATCTATACGCTTAAGGCTTATTGTCTTGCGTGCTCCAGTATTCGTAATTCGTTTACTTGAGTTGTATTGGAGCCGTCATATACAGTATTTGCATGGCAGCTCGATCTATATCTCAAGATTCAAATGTTCGCTGTTTTGAAGTGACACAGCGCACACGAGGTACGTAACAGTACACACAGTCTTGGTATTTCTTATTTTGTTAGGACTGAACTATTAGTTTAAAAACTCTCATGTTCATGTTGTAAACTGTCATTAATATGTATTCACATAAAATACTTTTACTTGCAACTCCATTCTCGCCTCTCGTTTCTTTCGCCTCGCAGAACATCTGGAACCGGGGTACTCCTAGGGTTCCCCCCTTGTTGAAAATTTCATGTCGTAATTCATAATTTTGATTTTGCAGATTGCAAATCAGTAAACTGCCTTGATTACTATGATCCTACCATTTGATATTTTATGTGGCTCCAACATGAAATAGCTTCTGTATTTCAGATTGTTTTAATTGCTAGAACCAAAAATGAATACTGGAACTATCCATATTTATCATGTTGCACCCTCAATGCCTTGTCACCCCACATCTTGTCAACCCCCTCCCCCTTTGAGGGCCCTCTTTGCTAGCGATTCAGTTCTACCCCACTGACTGCAAATATAGAGTTATGTAAAATTTTAATGCCAATAGCTCAGGGTGTGAAATATAAAAACTGTCTATCACATGCATCAGTTAGGTGTAAAAAGCTAAATTCCGCACCAATATATCTGACTTTCAATATCATATTGAATTCATGGACCACATCCAGATTTCATACTAGTGAAGAAAAATTTGCCAATCACAATTATTATATGGTTTTTATAATGCAAGAATAGTACACAGAGATATCCCTACTCATAAGGTACTAGAAGAAAGATATGCCAAGCTATTTGCACATTTTTCTAAGCGAATTAATATATCTTAATAATATTTAGCTTGCATCATGTGCCTTGGCCCATTCTCTTATAATAAAGTAACTCATCTTGGCTAACTCACATGATTTTCAAATCCAGGGTCATGTGCCCTACTTTATTATTTTACTCCGTCTAATGCCAGACTATTTTACTCTAATGCCAGACAGTTTTACTTGTCAGGGGGAGAGCTAGTGCTGCCACTCAATGGATTAATTTCAAATGACTCCTTTATTGATAAACAATTTTTGTGCTGTAAAATTTGTTATAAACAAGTTGAAATAAAAATACACAAATTTGTATTAATCCTCAGATATGAATGGATTATTATACTACAACTATGAACACTTTGCACAAATTGGGCTATTCCAGCTTGGAATTCAGCAGGGGTAAGGTGATTTTTAGCTCTGAAATTTAGCTAGCGAATTAATCCATAGCTTCAGGGATAAGCAAATTTTCGTGTGGAATTATTTAATGGATATTGTAAATGAGATTTTCCTCAAGGGTCAAATGAAAAAATTGAAATTCTTCCAGGGTCTCAATCTCTTCATCGGTATTATCAGGAATTCTTCAGGGGATCTCTTTTACGACAGGAATTCTTCAGGGACATGGATAAAACGTTTAAAACCCTTGTGCTTGATAGGGGCCGGGGGTTACATCTTTTAAATGGAATAGCCCACAGAATGTCCAGAAATAAAAATCACTGTCAAACCTTCCAAAATCTAATTCAATAGGAACTACCACTTCAAAATATGAATATAACAAACAAACTTCAAATAAGAGTCTCATCAATTATTGACATTCTTGTTTCTTTAAATCTTGAATGTCAAGATGAACATCTTTCTCAGAGTTAGTTTTGTCATGGCCAGAAATTCCGGTCATGGGAATCAGCAGTACGCCAGCGGTTTTCGCCATGGGGCAAAGTAACATGACGTATTCGAGCCGAATTTAATCCAATATGGCGTCGCTAACGAAAGAATCGAGGAGGCCACATAAGGGATATTACAAGCAACTGGAAAACATTTCTTCTGTAATTATGTATGAAACAAAACCTAAAAGACCAAAAATCAAGACGTACCCTAAAAAATTTGATGTCGAAAGAATTATATCAAGAAAAATGCAGAACAAGGTCAGTTACTGATTCAATGGTAGTCATTCACTTGTTCACACGTCATATTTTACATTTTTGAATCATTGTGATTGGCATACTGAGACAATGTCTGATGATACTGAATATATTTATTGCTGTAAAAATGTTGAAAGCCGTGTCAGCTACAGTTTTTTTGCACTTCAGGAGGAATACTACCTCATCAAACAGGCTTTCTTGTGGTCCTACTTTTCCTACTTTTTCCTACTTATTCTTAAAAATTGCTTGATTTTCCTACTTTTTCCTACTTTTTCTCTTAAAATCCTACTTTTTTAAGTCTGTTTGGCAAAACCACAGAGTAGGTACATACAGAGGTCTCACTTCTGCTGGAAAACCGTAAGGTAGTTTTTAGAAAAATAGTTGGCAGCCATGTTCTTAGCAAGTCCGGTAAGGAGAGGCATTCACCCCCTGGAACATTAAATTTCAATATGTTTTCAGGGGGGGGGGGTGATGGGTTCTCTTTACCGGACTGGCTAAAAACACAGCGGACTGAAAAATATCCCTTACGCTAAATTCACCAGAAGTGAGACCTCTGTATTTACTTCCTCTGTGGCAAGACTCTTGACAATTCCCCCCAAATCCTAAAAAATCTACGATCCATTGAAAATCGCAAAAAATCCCCTAATGTCCTTCGAAATCACAAAAATCCCCACAAATCCATCAAGATCCAGGTTTATGAAGGGCATACTTCATGTAAGACGTTGCCACATGGATTTGGTTTGGCAAAAAATGTAATTCAGCACGTGTTCTCCAGGTAAGTGTTGTTTTTAATTCGTTTAATAACTTTTCTTATCATTTTCGTTTCGCATCAAATTCTAGAATTTGAGTGGATATAAGAATGGCGCAATTGCAAAACAACGTCGGCAAATTTGCATTGAAATTAGCATTAAAATTAATTTGCATATTCAAATATAATAAAAATATAGTAAAATAAGTTTTATTTATGATATTATATGAGCTGCAAGCTGGCTTGCTGGCCGTCCTTTTTTATTACTCAAGAGTATAGCGCGTAGTTAGTAATTCTGTCCGCAGTCACCCAAGCCAAGAAACTGATCGCAGGGATTATAAATTTTTGTATGACACCGTCACCGCTCATCATTCATCAATCAATTTTTTAGCAAATATGTATTTAGTAACAATTGCCAACTTGCAAAATGTAACTGGCTAAACCAGTGGGTTAAACGTACAGTTTCTTGAAAGAGCAACGATTCCTTGTAACTTATTTATTTTTGGTGAAAATAAACCGTCATGAATGAATTTTTATTATTAATGTACACATTGCATTTAAGATTTAATTATTATTATTAATGTACACATTAGATTTCAGATGTACACATTGCATTTAAGATTTTAAGATCCCTATCTTTTGTGTGACTGCCTATATGTAGATAATCAGAATTGGTGCTACAAATTTGCTCAGAGTAACTATTGCTCAGAGTAACTATAGCTATTCATCATGTGATGCAACACCTGCTCTTTTCAAGAGAATATTCCCTGGTGATGTTGCTGAACATTTTTCAATGAGCAAATCCAAAGTATCGTATCTTCTTTCGGATGGCTTGGGACCGCATTTCAGGCGAGAGATGTGTGCTTCAATCTGCGAAACAAAGAGTGTGTTTACGTTGCAATATGACGAAACCGCGAATACACAGAACCGCAAGCAGTGTGATTTGCTTCTGCGATACTGGTCTGAAGCTGCTGGTGAAATTCGTGTGCAGTTCTTGAAGGCACTGATGTTTGGACATGCCAAAGGGAAAGATGTTTCCTTGGCTATATTGGAGACATTGCAGGAGGAAGGCTATCAGTTGCCATTAGCACAGCTGATTAGCCTAGGATCGGATGGCCCTAATGTTAATAAAACAATTTGGAATTTGATCAATGAACACATGAAGACCAATGGCCTGCATGGAATTCTCCCTTTTATTCCGTGTAACTTGCACATCGTTCACAATGCATTCAGACAAGGTCTGAATATATTTGGAGAACAAGCGGAACAGCTTGTTCTAGATCTTTTCTTTTTCTTGAAGGCATCGCCATGTCGGAAAGAAGATTTTTTCGAAACACAGCTTGGCCTTGGTTTAGATAGTGGATTGTTTATCAAACATGTCCAGAGTCGTTGGCTTATGCTTATTCCCGCGGTTAAAAGAGTTCTGATCTGCTGGGATGCTGTCGAGAAATATTTTCTAATCGAATTGCCAAGAATTATGGCAAAAGAGAAAGAAGCGTCACTGAAAAATAACGAACGATACAAGAGAATCTGTCAGAAGATTAAAAATCCAGAGATCTTTGTACAGTTGCACTTTCTTCAAAATTTAGAATCAGTATTCCATCCTTTCCTTGCCTTTTTCCAGAAGGAGGAACCACTTATCCACATCCTGTACCACAAGCTGTCGGAGCTTTTGCGCACCATCATGTTTCGTTTCCTTAAGCCTGGTGTTGTTGGAGAGAATACAGGGAAAAATCTTAAGGCGGTGGAGTTGAGCAAACCTGAGAACCAGCTGAGCGATCAGTTAATTGAAGTTGGTGAAACCACTCGCAAGAAGG